GGGTTTGCGAATAAATAAACCACACTGGACCAGGTGTAATGGGGCTGTGCAAATCATAGATATAAACCCTTTAACCAATTTTCAAGTCCAGGGTAGAAGAAGACTAGCGAGGCACTCATAATAATATATTCTGAGATGCACTTAACAAGTGCAAATAATTGAAATTATGAACAAATATTTGGCAAGCACACATCCTTCAGCTATCTGCATATTTGTATTTGCCTGGAGTCAAGTAATTTATTAAAAGTTTGTTCAAAGCAACACAAACATTTATAACCATTGCAGATGACTATCACACCAATAGTACCATGCCCCCTGTCCAGAAAGGCTCTAAACGTCGTCCAGTTTTGAAATATGAAATGGTATAAGACATTAAAAATTTGCTAATTATTTTCAAAATGTCACATAGCTTACCTTTTGGCAGGATGGTCTGTTATCCCATTTAGTTCAGTGGAGGCATTTTGGGAAGCTGGATCCCTGATGGTCCGGTGTGGGAACATTGTGGTCTGCACCAATATCGGATGCAGATCACTTTAAATGCTACCTCATGATCCTGCGTCAATTTTTCAGCATGCACTGAAGGTCTTGAGGAAGCTCTTAAAGTGAGAGCACCCAATAGAGATACCATGTGCCCCGAGTTGCCCCTAGCCTCCTGGAATAATTGTAATTTTTATTACCCTTTAACAGGGCTGCGGGCAGGGGACATAAAACGGGTTTTTAACACTGTGTACGTTTGTATTCTTGACACTAAAGTGTTCTATTATTTTAGAAAATCATCATAAAGTTTTTACTCAGAATATGTATAATCTGGTTATTTTTGTAATTTAGATTATTGTTTGTACCCAACGATATGTTTGGAATGCTATATTCGATATATGTTAATATATTGATGTTTTTATTTCTGCTTCTTTAATAATGTATTACAACAGAGGTTAAGTGTGTTCATTCTCCTCGAAACATGCTAGGCAGAAATCAATGCTAGGCAGGAAGTATTACAACATCCAGGAGACCTGCACTGTATGATACTAATAACTTTAGACCTACATTTCATATTGCAGCATAGTGGGACAAAGGTTATTAGATAGGGTGGGGTTTTTTTGTCTGTAGCGCAGGATATCAAGGATTTTCCTTTTTTAACTAACAGCAAAACTATGATTTATTGAATTCATTTGGAAACGTTTAAGTCTGTGATTTATGTAAAACAATATGTCTCTTGGCAGCACATACTTATCTTAACAAGAAATCTTATCTTATATGCTGATATGCTTTATGTTAGCATCCTTATAAATGGCATGTGCTGCAAAGAGACATTCTGTTTTTGATAAATCTTTGGGATGAATTTACTAAACGCCAATTGCTGTTCAGTTGTTACGATTTGGCTATTTTAACCCATTCAGGCATACAGAAAATGCAATTTGTTATTACAACCAAATTTGCACTGCCATTGGGTTACAGGTAGGGTGTTTTTTTTAAATCAGCCAAACGATCATATAACATGGATGATTTGGTCAATTTACAACAATCCGGTTATTGGATACGGACCAATAGCACCTTAAACGCTAAGCCACCCAATCATTAGTCATAATAATGCTACCCTAAACAACCCTAAGGATATCCCAAATTTAAATTATTAATGTACAGTAAGACCACACGTGAAGAGGTGTCTACTTTAAGTTTGTAAAATGTTGAGAAGTACTGACAGCACACTTTTACATATCTGTTGAAGTGATACTAAGGACATACTGCTGGAGTCAAATCGCAGATATTATTGCTTTCTTCAATTAGAACATGAGGGAGTGAAGAGGGCAGAGCAACAATGCAACCAGGATTTGCAACAATAGTTCATATAAAATTACCCCAAGTTTAGCAAATTGCGCATTTTCATATTGACGATTAGTAGGGCCTTCTTTAATATTGATTGGACCCTGGGCAAGCATTTGCTTGGGCCCCCGGACACTGCCTCCCCCTCTCACTTCCTGGCATGCAATCACACCCTCCACCTCAACACAGTTGCAGAACTAAAGTAGAGAGGGCCCTGGATCAAGATTTGTTTATGGGCCCCGCTATTGCAAGGGTTCCCAAAAGGTAGATCCCCATCTGTTGTGCAACTCCAACAATGTTTTGACACCCGGGGCTCTACCATTTTCCCATGCTTGCAATATTGTATTTAGCACTAATCAGTGTTTGTGTGTTTGAATGTAAGCATGTTTTTGTATGGAGTACGTTTGTGTGAATTTAGGGGTGTGTTGTATGTATTTGGTGTTGGCATTTGAATGCAAGCATGCATTTATGTGTATTGTTCATTTTTTATGATGTGTTTATATATAGTTTTGGTGTTTAAAACAGAGGTGTGTTTGATTGTAGTGTTAACGTTTCAATGAAGGAGTGTGTTTGTATGTAGTGTTGAAGTTTGGATGCAAGGGTATATTTGTGTTTAGTGTTGGTATTTGAATTCTGAGTTGTATGCCAATATTCACATGAGCTGTCACACACACTGTGATACACATACACACAAACACACTGACAAACATACAGACACACAAATACACATCCTGAAACACATGCAGACACACAGATACACACAATGACAACATATAGATACACACACTGACACACATACAGACACAAAGATACAAACACTGAAACAAATGCAGATACACAGACACCAAATATGAGAATAAATACACAAGTCAGCTAAATAGTAGTCCTAAAGGAGCCCCAGGAAGGGGGAGTAGTAAGATTAGATATAAATCATGAGTGAAAGACCCCCACTAGGAAAGCTCCAGAGTATGCACTCAACGCACGTTTCCACCCGTTTTTAAACCCAACCGTCAATGTTGCCATTGATTAATTAATCGCTAGTGGGGCTTGTCAACTAAGTGGTTGTTTTGGAACACATCTTTGCTTTTACCTCCTTCAGCACTCCTGATGATCCCAGCAATGGCTGCATGACGAAAAGCGCGTCAAGCGCATACTCTGGAGCTTTCCTAGTGGGGGTTTTATTCACTCATGATTTATATTTAACCTTACTACTCCCCTCTCCTGGGGTTCCTTTAGGATTATTACTATTTAACTGACTTGTGTATTTATTCTCATGTTTGATCTCTCTAAGAACTAGATGTATTTGGGAACATTGGTATATCTTCAATTTATAAATATTTTTTCTAAACTTTGAATTGGGAACATGGAGTGGACATGTGCCGGTTGCTAAATATATAGGGATTAGAAATCTATATCTTGATCCTCACTGTTAATCCCATTTATGTATGCACAGATATCTGTCTGCAAGTTTAACTACTTTTGCCTATTACCCTAAGGCAAATATCTAACTCGCTGGACATATTACTGTTAGTTTTTCTTATAAAGCTATGTGATACATAGTTATTCTTGCAATGCATAGTGGTATATTTGATATAAGACTATCCACTATCTTAACCTAGAAATATCTGTGCCTACCTTTCCTCAATATGTACTACTAACTTTTGACACCTTCTGTATCCCACCTACTCAGAGAGATACTTAGATTTTTATTAACAATTTTCTTCAACCTTATATATTCTTTCTGTATATATATTTATATATATATATATTTCTGTTTTATATTTAGACTATAGCTTTATACCCCTCCATGGGACGTTTTAACGTTTATTAGTAAAAGTTATATTTTATAACACTAGATTTATTTAGGTTTTACAATTATAGGGCTCAAACCCCTTGACAAAGTGGTGAAGCTGTTTTTCTCATTTGTTAATTGTGGTGGACGAGATAGAGCTCTCTTTTGCTACAGTCTAGACACACACACTGACACACATTCAGACACACATACAGACAGACATATTGACACACACACACACTAAGACACACACACACGTGCACTGACAGACATACTGATATACACACAAACACACATTTCTTACCTTTTGCAGAAGGTTGACTTCCCTGGTTTCAAGTGTGCTGGATGGGGAGGTTGGGAGTTAAACTCTGGCACACCCGCCCTGGTCGCCCCCTCTCTGCCTTCACCCCCTCCCGTCCAGCTGCAGTCTCTCTAGGAGAAAATGACAGGCTGTCACTTCGTTCCATGCTGCCCATGTGAAAGGGGAACCCAACTGGCTCCTGCTGACATATGCCCACCAGGTGGCCCACAGTGCATAGGCCACCCTTTTAGCCCACTTAGTGTGCAGGCCCGCTGCCTGCAGCTATTTATTTTAGGGTTGGCGATGCTAAAATAAATTGTTGTGAGCAGAGGGCAGATGTGACAGCTGCTTTGGACCCCCCCGAAGTAACTGGGCCCAGGGCAGCTGCCCCATATGCCCTGCATAAATGATGGCCCTGCCAGTAATTAGGCAGTGTTAATTATTAATGAAAATGTTGTATTATAAATTTAATTACAAAAACTGTTATTTGGAGTCTGTAACAGTAACATGTGTTGCAAGAGACAATTATGTTCTAATCTCCTGCCTGCAATAAACAGACTCCAATCCATGTCTTTACAAGAGCCGATGGACATTGACTCCTGTAATCTACAGTTCAATATTTGAACTCCACTACACTTAATATATTATCAGAGAAAATCAAGAGTTCTCTAGTAATAAGTAATTATATATTTATCAGAAATTATAAGTATGTCCAAACTGTAAACAGTTAAAAAACATTATATTGCAATCAGTGCTCTGGAAATATAGAAGGTGTTCATTGAAATGAAGTTGTTATGGTGCCAGGAGGCCCCTGGTGCTGGCTCCTTATTATGAGTTAAATCATTTATGAATGGTTTAACCACAAAGTCTATCCTCCGGTGCTGGATCGCTCTCTCTCCCTGTCCTTCTGCTTCCTGAAATTCTAGTAAACAGGAAGCTCGAGCAGCATTGGGCAGGGTATATGTTTTTTTTTATAAATGGGGAGTTACTGACTGGCTTAGAGCATGACCTGACCTCTAAATGTGAGCCATCACCAAGGACCTAAGGGAAAGCATTGGATTGGCTGAGATCATCAAGACTGATGATCTCAGCCAAGGAGGTGAGCATGGGCGGGGCAAGTCGAGACTGGACCTGCACAGTACTGGAAAAAGCTGAATAAATTACTTTTTAGCAAGGGGTAAGGTGGAATAAATGGCTACTTAGACCTATAGTGTCAGAAATACACCCTTATATAGCTGACACTATAGTGTTCCTTTAAGTGAAGTACTCAGGATTCATTATAGGCGAATATTGGTGCTTTTGTACTGCTTGTTTCACAATGTTGCACCATGACATTGGTAAACTACTACTCACTGTAGTGAGAACTCCTTCAGCCCTGCTTGTATTTATTGTGATGTACAATTATTACAAATTGTATATCAATTTGATATCTACTAGATGGCGGGACTCAGCCACTCAGCCATGACCCTTGGGAACCTTATAGAAACTGAAGCCAGATCAGTTTTAGACGTACAAAATGCCAGGTCTAGTGGTGCCAGGTATAAGTTACGCTAAACGTGCAACACTAGTCTCGCTTCATAACATAGCCTGCATGTCATTGCTAAATTAACCCTTTCATTCTGCAGTGGAGAGCAGTGAAATGAAATGTTCTCTTTTGTGGTGCTGAAAGAGAAATAAAATAGTAAAATTACAAAATAATACATCTAGGATCTGTGAAAGCTCAGTATGTATAAAAAAAAAATCCTTCTTGACTCCAGAATTCTAGTCAGTTTTTCCTTGAATCAAAAGGGGGAAAAAATACAGAATATGTACAGACTCAGATAAAACAACCTAGGCTGATAATTTCATACCTTTATTATAACTTTAACACGCCAAGCACCATAACTACTACTGCACACTGTAGTGCACTTAATGCCCTTAGCAACATCTGACTGATGTAGCATATTGTTGCCTAGTCTGTTGTCTTTTTTTTTTTTTTTACTTTTTCTTATATTTCAGAAGTGTATTTTTTTTTCCTGGTGCATCTGTGATTTAGGCCTTGGTACTCTTGTCATCATGAACATATCCTGAAATTTATTAAGTGTTTCTATGTCTCATATTAACTCCCCGTGTCCCACACCGATCCCCTGCCCCCACCTTATAAATTAAAGGTCTTGAGAGGTAAATTCAGCATTATAGTGATGTATATTAGGTAAACAATTCCATTTTGTTTATCCATGTATCCCAGTCTTCTATTTGAGTATATCTATTTCCTAAGTTCACCAAGATACCCCTTTCCATTTTTGCCTGTCATATGACTTGTATAATTAGTTCTTGAGTGCCTGGGATTGTCCCTAATTTTCCAATTTTGCGCTAATTTAATTTAGCTGCCGTGATGATATGCAGCGTTAACATTCGTGTATTATTTGTCATTTTTGGCCAGTTCAAGTTTAACAAGACCACTTCAGGCTTTAAGACTAAATTAATTTCTGTTATTTGATATATTGCTTTGATTACCTCTTCCCAAGATTTGTTTATGGGTGCGCATTGCCACCATAAATGGATCAAATTGCCTTCATTAACGATGCATTTCCAGCATCTCTCTGATGATTCAGGGAAAATTTTCTTTAGACGTTTTGGTGTAAGGTACCATCTATTAGAGAGTTTGAATTGCGTTTCCTATCCACTTTTTCCCATTTATTAATCAATTCTATTGGTTTATCATGTCTCCATCTATACATAACTTTGGTGCATTTTGCCAACAGGTTTTTATAATTCTTTAGTTCAAGTAACTGTTTAAGATTTATATTTTTCTCCCCCTTGTTTTTCAAGAGGAATTCTGTTATGAAGCCCTTAATTCGCAAATAATTAAAGGTTTCTTTGGAGGGGAATATTAAATTCCTCCATAATTTGATTGAAGGACTTGATTTTATGTTCCACTAATATGTTTTTAAAGTACCGTATATACTCGTGTATAAGTCGATCTCATGTATAAGTCGAGAGCAGTTTTGTGACCAACAATTGTGAAATATGCTATGCCTCGTGGATAAGTCGAGGGTAAAACTTGGGGCTATGAAATTCAGTGATTTTTATAATTATATACACACACTCATACAAACACACACTCTGCATTATATATACACACTCATACAAACACACACTCTGCATTATATATACACACACACACTCATACAAACACACACTCTGCATTATATATACACACACACACTCATACAAACACACACTCTGCATTATATATACACACACACACTCATATAAACACACACTCTGCATTATATACACACACTCGCTCATACAAACACACACTCTATATTATATACACATACTCACTCATACAAACACACACTCTGCATTATATACACACTCAATATAATCTGCATATAATCCACAACAATATAAAATCTGAATGATTAAAATATTTAAATAAATTAAAACAAACAGCAGCACTCAATTTAGCATCACTACAGAAGTAGCACCACAAATTTACCTTTATAACTCTGTGTGTATATAATGCAGAGTGTGTGTTTGTGTAGTGTGTGTGAACTGGGTGGGGTGAGGGCATTTTTATTATTGTAATTTTTTTTATTTTAATATTATTATTTTATTATTTTAAAAAAAAATTTGTCCCCCCCCCTCCCTGCTTGTTAACTGGTCAGGGAGGGGGGCTATCTTAATCCCTGGTGGTCCAGTGGCATGGGCTGTGCATTGGGGGGGCCGGCAGGAAGCATTTACTAACCTTTCCTGCAGCTCCTGTCAGCTCCCTTCTCCTCCGTTCCGGTCAGCTCCACTGTAAGTCTCGCGGTCTGGTTGCCGTGCGGATCATTGCCACAGCTCTGACTGCCGCGGCTCTCTAAGTTGCCATAATACATAATACAGACAGTGACTCGAGTATAAGTCGAGTGGTGGTTTTTAAGCACAAAAAATGTGTTGAAAAACTAGACTTATACTTGAGTATATACTGTATGTATTTTAATATTGTCTAACATATCTAGAATCTGTCTAACATATCTAGAATCTATTATTTTGTTTCTGAATCCTATGTTAATTTGTCCTACCAACTTGTTAATTCTTTGAGTATCTGTGATTTAGTTCGTGCCTCTATAATTAATTTTCTATTCGTATCTTAGACCCAAAATAGCGAGGATAGGTTTCTTACCCCTGTTTTATGTTTTTCCATTTCATACCATGTTTCTTGAATTGCTGCATTATTTTGTGAAAGCAGTATATGAAATAGCCTACTGGCCTGGTAACATTTTGAAATTTCTGGGCACCCCAATCCTCCATCTTGCCTAGCCCTCGCCAAAACTTTCATTTTAACCCTTGCTTTCTTACCTCCCCATACAAACTTAAAAAAAGATGAATGTAGTAACGATAGCCAATTTTCTGGGAAATTTAGAGGGATCATTCTCCATAAGTACATTTTGGTAAAATGGATGCTTTTAAGATGTTGATCCTGCCCGACCAGGAAAAGCCCAAGCCTTTCCAATCCCTTAAATTTTTATTTGTTTGTTTTAATATAGTTAAAAAGTTGGCTTCTATTAGATCTTTCAGATCTGAAGTTAAAGTTATGCCTAAATACTTTAGCCTATCTTTATTTTTGGGGAGCCCGATGTTTTGTACGAGAAAGTCAGTTAACCTTTTATTCATATTTTTAGCTATAAATTCTCCAGATTCATTTTGTAACCTGAGACTTTAGAGTATTTACTTATCTCCTTTAGAAGCTCTAGAACCAAAATTTTAGGTTCTTCTAATGATAGTAGGATCTCATCTGCATAGATATTTAATTTTATTTGTCCTACTGCATTCGTAAAACCTTTAATTTTGTTATTTTGTCTTATTGAAATTGCAAGGGGTTCTATCACCATTATATACAATAAGGAAGAAAGAGGGCACCCTTGACTGGTCCCGTTTTTAATATTGAAGTTTTGTGATGTAAAACCTGACCCTGTTACCATTGCCGATGGAGAGATGTAGAGAGCGGATATGGCTTGTAATATTGATCCAGTGATTCCAAATAGTTTTAAGGTGGCGAACATGAAGCCCCATCCAACCCTGTCAAACACTTTCTCTGCGTCTACTGACCGTAACATTAGAGGGGTTTCATTGTTCTCTGTTTCTTCTAGAATGTTTATTATTTTTCTAAAATTGTTGATTGAGGACCTCCCTGGTATAAAACCTACTTGATCATTATTGATTAACTGTGGTATAACTATTTTTAATCTGTCAGCAAGGATAGAGGATAGTATTTTAATATCGGTATTAATTAATGAAATGGGTCTGTACTTAGTAATCAGTTCTGGTTCTTTGTCTGCTTTTGGGATGGGGACAATATTCACTCTCAACAGCTCTCCAGGGCAACATCCTGTTTTCATTATGCAGTTAAAAATGGTAGTGAGTTCCTTTTTTAGTTGATCTTTCATTAGTTTATAGAATTTGTTTGAAAAGCCATCTGGGTCTGGTGCAGTATTTATTTTAAGTTTATCTATAGATTTACTAACCACTTCTGCTGTTATGGGCTGGTTTATCAGCTTTAATTGGTCTGACAGGATTTTTGGCATAATTATACTTTTGAAGAATTTCTCTATCTCTTTTTCCCTACCAAATAGCTCTTCTGGTAAATTATATAAGTCCCGATAAAATCCTTTGAAGGCACTTCCTATTTTTCCTGGGGCCATTAGGTAAGTATCTTTATCTTTTATTTTATGTATTACTTTTTATGTTTCTCTTTTTTAAGTGTATTGGTCATTAGTGCTTCTGGCTTATTTCCCTTTAAATACCACTTAGATTTTAGTGCTTCTAGCTGTTTGGTTGCTTTGTTCATTTACTGGTTATTTATCTGTTTTTCTGTTTCTGCAATCTTACTTGATATTTGTGTGGAAAGTGTTATTTTATTCTGCCTTTTGTATTCACTTAGCATTATATATAATTTGAAGAGAGGCGGTGTTCCTTCTTTGTTTGTGGTGGCTGCCATTTTTATCATGTGGCCTCTAGCTACACTTTTGTAGGCGCACCAGACCAGCCTAGTCTGTTGTCTTTAGCTATTTATAAGTCATTTATTGTCTTACTTTACTGTACTTGGTATTATTTATGATACAAGTTGCTGGAGCATTCCTCATCCCAAAATGTGTAACTTTGCATGTATATACATTAAATATTATCTATCTCATGATTGCCTAGTCCCTAATTTATTCAAAAAAACATACAGTGAAGTAACATCCTGCTTAGACTGTTTTGTGTCATCTGTAAAAACCAACACATGCAGGGCTGGTGCAAGGATTTTTGCCGCCCTAGGCAAAAGAAAAATTTGCCGCCCCCCATATGCGCTGCCCACCATGTGAAATCACAATGCCCCACCCATATGATCTGTCATATGAACCAACACCAGTGCTGCACACAGTGTGTGTTTACATTAAAAAGCCTACAGGGACAGGCTATAGACACCAAAACCACTACATTAAGCTGCAGTGGTTCTGGGGACAATAGTGCCCCGTTAATTTGAGTTAAATTTGAAATTAGTGTCACTAGTAATATACTAGATTGCCTACTTACAACCAGATGAGGATGATGATAGGCTCTGGCTGCAGTCTGGCTCCACTGGTTTGGTGTATTACAGGCTCTCTGGAGGCTGTTTGTAACTGTTGTCACAAAAATCAATGTTCTGGGGGAACGGGAAGTGTACAACGGATTCAAGGTGTGTTTATGTGTATTTAAGGGATGCATTGTGTGTGTCTGTAAGGGGTGCAAGAGAAGCAGTGTGTTTCTGTGTGTGTGTGTGTGTGTGTGCAAGGGATGAATTGTGTGTTTCTGTGTGTAAGGGATGCAGTGTGTGTGTGTAAGGGATGCATTGTGTGTTTCTGTGTATGTGTGCAAGGGATGCATTCAGTGTTTCTCTGTGTGTAAGGGAAGCATGGTGTGTGTGTGTGTGTGTGTGTGTGTGCATGTGCATGTGTGTGTATGTGTGTATTGTGAAAGAGAGTTTGTGGGGTAGGATAGGGGCTGAGAGGGGAGCAGAAAAAAAATATAGATATATAAAAAAATATTTTTGTTTATGTTTTGCGTCTTACATCCCCCTTTAGTGTATCTCTTGCAAGCCCCTTATTTGTATCTTATCCCCCCTCTTTGTATGTCTCCTATATCCTCCCAACATTTTTATGTGTTTTACTCCTCCCAGCCTCTTTCTGTGTCTCCCTCCCAAGCCCCTCTGTGTTTCTTTCTCCCCTACCAACACTTTTGTGCTTCTCTTTCCCCTCTTCCTTAGCCTCTCTGTGTGTCTTCCACTCCCCTGTTGCTAAATAATCTCTTTCACTCCCACCTATCCATTGGTGGTCTTCTCTCCTCCCCCTGTCCTTTAGAGATCTCTCCTCTTGTCTCTTACTGCTCTCCCTTCCTGTCCATTAGAGCTCACCCTCCTGTCCCTTAGTGCTCTCTCCTACCCCCCACCCCATTAGTGGTCTTTCCTCCCCCTTGGTGGTCTCTCCTCTCCCCTCCCCTCCCCTTCCCTTAATGGTCTCTCCTCTCCCCCTCCCCATTAGTGGTCTCTCCTCTCCCCTCTCCCTCCTTGGTGATCTCTCCTCTCTCCACCCCTCCCCTAGTGGTCTCAACTGTTCCCCCTCCCCTAGTGGACTCTCCTCCTCTAGTGGTCTCTCCTCTCACCCTGCCCTTAGTGGTCTCTCCTCCCTCCCCTCGTGGTCTCTCATCTCCTGCATGCACCCCAGATGTTCTCTTCTCCCTCCCTCTCCTGGTGCTCTCTCCTCTCCCTCCTCTCCCCAGGTGGTCAATCCTTCCCCCCTCCTCCCATGGTGGTCTCTCCCCCCCTCCTCTCTCTCTCTCTCACCCCCTCCCCAGGTGGTCTCTCCTTCCTTCTCTCTCTCCCCACCTTCCCTCCCCAGGTGGTCTCTCCTTCTCTCTCTCCCCCCCCTACCTCCCCAGGTTGTCTCTCTCTTTGTTTTTACAGATGTACCATACAGATGTCACTTTGTGTGTGTGTTCCATTCTTTTATTCATAGGAAGTCTTTTAAACACTTTAGTGTAATATATTCTCAAGTGCTGCTTGAATTTGTTATAAGAACAAGTCACAGCAGATGATTTCACTATTATTATTATTATTATACATTTATTAAGTGGTAACTATCACGGCAAGGGTGCATAACTCATTATTGCACTATGGAATATTGTCTTTGAAGCTGGGACCTCCACAGAGGTCAGATGACAGAAGGGGTAGTGTAAATTGCATAGGAATGTGAAAAGGGAAAGATGCGTCCTGTGATTAATCAAAGGCTCTGGAAGGTGTGAGATTCTACACTTCTGGCTTCAGCCATATGGCCGGTACTTCTTAATTGATGAGTCAATTCTCTAATATGTTAATGGCCATTAGCCTTGTTCCAGTATCATATCCAAAAGAAAAAACATTAATATTTACCCAGAGAATAATAATTAAGCCGCCTTTTTGTTATATTGGGAATGTGACAAGCGCCATCTTCTAAACAAGCCCAAACATGTTTAGCATAACTTAACCATAGGGGAAGGGATTGTGATGTCCGCTATATTGGGTCGCAAGGCGTGTGAAATATCTATGAAATGGAAAAATAATAACAAATTCGTAGATGCAATTATTATTTCTGTGGCATATACATAAGAGAAAATAGAACAAAATGTTTCCATTTGGATTGATGTGGGTTTGGACACAAGGGGGTTGGTCACTTAGTGTCTCTTTAGATATGCCTTAACTCCACCTCTGGGTGAATTGTGGTAATCCACGGGGTATATCTCTAGTGATACTGAAGTGTGCCTGGTACTTGCTTGAGGGGCAGAATCTAATTCTAAGTGAGTCACCATCTTTCCTACCAGAGATCCCCCTGGGGCAGAAGTATTTACTTTGAAGAGCTGTGTAAGTGATTATGACTTTCTGTTATTTTATCCCTTTTGTTTTTATCTGTCATTGGTGTAAATAATTTTGATTGTCATCTATATTTCTGAATACACTGTGACTATTTTTTGCTCATAATAAATATTCCTTTATTAAGTTCTGCCTTTTTCTGGGAAAGAATCACGTTACCTGAAGAGACTAATGAGTTTTGTTGCAATTCATTGAATATTGTGCTAAGTTGTATTTGGTGAATTTTTATTATTGATTTACCTTGGGGACCAAGGCACCCCATTTATAAATAGGCTTGGTGGTGGCAGCGTTAAAATAGTAATGGGTGGTGTTAAGAGGGATTTTGTCATTATTTCCGGTCTAGGGCTGACAAATAGTCACATCCACATATTCATCAAACGCACACTCTTGAAGTAGGGTGCGTTTGTGACAGTAACCTGTGTTCAAAGTGTTGTATAAGGAAAGAAAGACAATTAAAAAGTAGAATGTATATAATATATATAACAGTATAATATAACAATGAACGACAGACATACAGAAAGACAGACAAACAGATAGATAGATAGATAGATTAGAAGAATTGAGAACCCTACCCCTAAACTTATAATCTAGCATTTACACTGATCAGCCGCAACGCTAAAACCACTGACAGGTGAAATGAATAACGTTGAATAGGCAGCAATTAAAAAGTCAGTTCTTGAATTTCAGGTTTTGGAAGCAGGAAAAATGGGCAAGTAAAAAGATCTGAGTTACTTTGACAAGGGCTAGATGACAGAGCATCTCCAAAATGGCAAGTCTTGTAGGGTGTTCCTGGTACGCAGTGGTTAGTATCTACCAAATGTGGTGCAAGAAAGCACGACCAGTAAACTGGCATTAGACTTAAGGACGCCCAAGGCTCATTGATGCATATGGGGTGTGATAGCTAGCTTGCCTTTTCCTATCACACAGAACAACTACTGTTGCTCAAATTCCAGAAAATATTAATGCTGGCCATGATAGAAAGGTGTCAGAACACACAGTACATTTCAGTTTGCTGCATATGGGGCTGCGTAGCCGCACACCATTCAGAGTGCTCATGGTGACCCTAGTCCACAGCTGAAAAGCGCCTTCAGTGGAGACGTGAGTGGCAGGACTGGACCATGGAGCAATGGAAAAAAGTTGCCTGATCCGATGAATTATGTTTTCTTTCAGATCAGTTGGATGGCCGGTTGCATGTACTTCATTTACCAGTAGAAAAGATGGCAGCAGGAAGCACTGTTGGGAGAAGACATGCCAGCAATGTTCTGCTGGCATACTCTGCGCTTCGCATTCATGTGGATGTTACTTTGACATGCCCCCCTATCTAGAGATTGTTGTAGACCTGATGACAGTGGCCTCTTTCAGCAGGATAGTGCACCCAGCCACACTGTAAAAATGTTCAAGAATGGTTTGTTGAACATAAGAAAGAGTTCAAGGTGTTGCCTTGGCCTTCAAATTCCCCAGACCTCTATCCGATTGAGCACCTGTGGAATGTTCTGCAACAACAAATCTGATCCATGGAGGCACCACCTTTAACTTGCAGAAATGAAAAGATCCACTACCCTCTCAGTCAAGTAATACTTCCTGATATTATTTTTAAACCTTTTTCCCTCTAATTTAAGACTATGTCCTCTTGTTGTGGTAGTTTTTCTTCTTTTAAATATAGTCTCCTCCTTTACTGTGTTGATTCCCTTTATGTATTGAAATGTTTCTATCATATCCCCCTTGTCTCCGTCTTTCCTCCAAGCTATACATGTTAAGATCCTTTAACCTTTCCTTGTAAGTTTTATCCTGCAATCCATGAACCAGTTTAGTAGCCCTTCTCTGAACGCTCTCTAAAGTATCAATATCCTTCTGGAGATACGGTCTCCAGTACTGCGTACAATACTCCAAGTGAGGTCTCACCAGTGTTCTGTACAATGGCATGAGCACTTCCCTCTTTCTACTGCTAATACCTCTCCCTATACAACCAAGCATTCTGCTAGCATTTCCTGCTGCTCTATTACATTGTCTGCCTACCTTTAAGTCATCAGAAATAATCACCCCTAAATCCCTTTCCTCATATGTTGAGGTTAGGACTCTATCAAATATTCTGTACTCTGCCCTTGGGTTTTTACGTCCAAGATGCATTATCTTGCACTTATCCACATTAAATGTCAGTTGCCACAACTCTGACCATTTTTCTAGTTTATAAGAAATGCGATTAATATAATAAATACATACGTATCCTGATATTAGTATTCTGCACGTTGTAACAGAAGCACATCCAATTTTGCAACAAACTAAGGAAATAAAGTATTTCTTGACCCCAGAATGGCAGTCCGATATCTCCTTGGATCAAGTAGCTATTACTCCACTAATTAAAAATTATATCCCTGTGTATTATATTTTTGCAAGTATATATCTAATTGCTGTTAAAACATCCATACAGACTCTGATAGAATTGACTCTTCAAGCAGAGAATTCCACATCCTTATTGTTCTTACTGTAAAAAAGTTTTCTTCCCTTAGACTAAATCTCCTTTCTTGGTCTAAATGCGTGACCTCGTGTCCTATGTATAGTCCTGTTTATGAACAGATTTCCAGACAGATCTTTGTCCCGAATATATTTTTATAATGTTATCAAATCCTCTCTGAGGCGTGTTTTACAAACTAAAGAGATTTAGATTTGTTAACCTTTCATCATAACTAAAATGATCCATTCCTTTCATCAATTTTGTAGCCCACCTACTTTTATAGTGTCATAATATCCTTCTTTAGAACAGGTGCCAAAAATTGCACAGCATATTCAACGTGTGGTCTTACCAGTGAGTTATCAAGATTAATACCCTTATTTATACATGACAATACCTTACTGGCCTTAGCAACTGCAGACTGATATTGCATTTTGTTGCATAGCTTGTTGTCTATAACAATTCCAAAATCCTTCTCATGTGTTATCACTAATTCACTACCATTTAGGGTGTAAGTTGCTTGGGCATTCTTTTCCCCGAAGTGCATAACTTTGTATTTTTCTACATTAAATTGAATTTACCATTTAAGTGCCTCGTCCCCCAATCTATCTAAATCCTTCTTCAACAAAGCAATATCCTGTTTACAATGTTTTACTTTACAGGGTTTTGTGTCATCTGCAAACCCTGAAAGATGGTTTTAAATGCCTATTTCAAGATCGTTTATAAGTATATTAAATAGAAGCAGACCAAAATAGAACCCTTAGGGACACCACTTACCACCTCTGTCCAGCTTAAATATTTACAAGGGCCACTCCACTAACCAAGTACATAATAAATAAAACATCACTGTTTATTATATATACCCCAAATGAAAACTTACATAAATTTAATTATTTTATTATTTCATCAAAAGACAGTTTGCAAAACCTGCATCTCTCTTGTCTGCAGCCTTTGCAAACCCTCCCCTTCTAACCCTGCCCGGACTTTCTGTGGCTATCCAATTACAGACTTCCCAATGCAGCTCAATTAGAAGTCTTTGCAAGGCAGGTGCCTATTTATTTATAAAAATGTAAATTAAAATTTTCCTAAAAGAAAAAAAAATATTGGAAGATTAAAAACAAAGGTTCACTTATTTCCACAGCTCCTTAAATACTTGTGGGTGAATACCATCAGGCCCCAGAGCTTTATTTACATGAACTTTCTTTAGCTGCTGTAGCACCTTGTCTTGAGTCAACCAATCACAATTTTGCTGATAATGTGCAGCAATAATATGTATATCTCTCTCTGCATAGGATCCTCCTTAATAAATACTGATGAAAATAGTTATTTAATATGTCTGCCTTTTCTTGGTCTTCAGAAACTAAAACACATATCTCTGTTTTCAGTGTACCTACACTTTCATTATTTTTTTTAATATAATTTATGTATTGAAAGAAATGTTAGGGGTGTTTTTTTTCTCTTTGGCTGTCAATCTCTCAATTTCTAGCTTAGACTTTCTAATCGCCCTTTAGCATTCATTATTGGCTCCCTTATATCTTATATAGGATGCCTCTGATTTGTCCGATTTAAATACCTTTTTATTTTATTTTTAGTCTCTTGGTTTACTTTTCCACTTTTATATTTATTACTAAATGGTACATACTAAGAAATGTACCTTTAAAATGTTTTTGTGAAGATATTCATTTATCCTCATTTTTTTTTTTTCCATAAAGAGTTTATGCCATTCAATATATTGTATTGTAAAACTGCCCTTAGACACCACATTGCGATCACTCTTTCCAAGTGCTCCACTACCTGATGGTCAAAAGATTAACATTGTTTGTTATAACCAGATTTGTGTATATTTATATACACACTTTTTTTTTTAACTCTCTACTACTTCATAACTGCAACCTTTATTAGCCATACTCTGTGGAACCTGGGTATATTGCATACTTTTCAACCTTTATGTCTTGTACTGTATGCTAAAGTTTAGTTCTACCAGCCTTACTCCATATATTTGGCTTTTTATGTATTTGTTTTATTAACCTATATGCATTCCTCTAATGATCTTTCTCTGTGATTTCTGCCCTTTACCCTACCGTCTTCTATTGATGCCTATGCAAATATTTGTTTGCTAGATATCCTCAGTACATTAATATTGCAGAACCTCCACTATCTTGACCACAATACTTCTGCACCAACCTCCAAACTCTTCTTAAATATATCTCTAACTTCATCTGCCCTAGCTCTGTAACCTCCATCTACAACTCCACCCTCTCAACTAGATATCATGGCACCTCCTACATTTTGACATTGTAAGCGACCTCATTTCCAACCTTGGCATACTAAGCTGACCCAATACCTCCAAGAATGCTCCAGGATTGCTGAACGCTGCAGGAGAAAGTCTCATTCTGCATCTAACTTCCTCCAATATATATTTATGCTAAGCTCATACTACTTCAATATCCTCAAAACAACACTCTCCCAAGCATGGCTGCCATCAGAAATTTTGGGGCCCATAACACTGCTCAACGTCTTGGCCCCCGGAGGCCCACCTCCAAGCCCGCCCCCAAATCCTGCCTCCAATTCCCACCCACAGGAATACACACACACAGAAACAAACACACACACTGATACAGAAAGGACACAGATACACACACATACACAAATATACACACATACTGACACATACATACTAACAAACACACATACTGAAACAGACACACACATACAGGCATACATACTGACACACAGACACACAAACATAGACACATACTAACATACATACAGACACACACACGCAAAAGGACATGCATACACACACATACATCAAAGAAAAATAGAAAAACACAGGGCGCCACAATCACTATATAAATACTGTATAGGGGTAAAGGAAAAAATGAGGTCAAGAGGAAAAAATATAAATAGTAGACAAAAATTTATTACATAAAAAATCCACAATATAGCACCAAACATGTGCAATAGAATAAATATTAAAAGGCCATAATAGGCCAGAGACCCATAGGTATAGCAGCTTAACACAATAAATACTGGACTAAATACATAAAGTGCAAAGTGCAAAAAGTGCAAAATGAGAATAAAGTGCACAATAAGATGGTCATCCAGGTATACACACAGTATTGCACCATCAGGAGATGCTCCTGAGGAAGTCGTAGGACGAAACGCGTTGAGATTACCAGGGGACCCTGTGATTTGGTATCGGCAACTTTATTACCACATATGCTGGTTTTATCTTTTTGTGCAATATTGTGTTTATTTGGACTATCAAGTGCTCACTTTGTTACTTGAATCTTTCTATGGTGCAATACTGTGTGTATACCTGGATGACCATCTTATTGTGCACTTTATTCTCATTTTGCACTTTTTGCACTTTGCACTTTATGTATTTAGTCCAGTATTTATTGTGTTAAGCTTCTATACCTATGGGTCTCTGGCCTATGTTGGCCTTTTAATATTTATTCTATTGCACATGTTTGGTGCTATATTGTGGATTTTTTATGTAATAAATTTTTGTCTACTATTTATATTTTTTCCTCTTGACCTCATTTTTTCCTTTACCCCTATACAGTATTTATATAGTGATTGTGGTGCCCTGTGTTTTTCTATTTTTCGTTGATATATATTTGAGGTTGGAGTGACCTCTTCACAGTAGCTTGCCTGCACTTATTTCTCTCGCTGCACCTCACTTATCTTTCATTTGAATTTAAACACACACATACATACTGACATACACATACATACATACTGACATACAGCCACATACAGACACATACATACTGACATACATATATACATACTGACATACATACATACAGACATATACATACACATACTGACATACATACATACATACTAAAATACATACACATAAATAC